AAATATTAATGAGGTTTCAAGTGTTTTTGAAGAAGGTCTTATCAAAAAAAGTAGATTTCACACTTTGTCGAATGACTTTTTCTTCAAATATGTTATTTTATTATTTCGGAGCCCATTTTTTTATTTCTCAACATTTTCAAGAAATGACGTGGCAACTTTAAAAGTTGAAAAGATCAGAGAATTCTCACTATTCTTTGCATTTCTGTTTCTCCCTAACTATTTGATGAGTTTCAAAATGCATGAACGCGTTCTCCAATCGTCTCTTGTAACCACTGAACTTTCAATCTTCCATAAATCCAGAAAAAATCCTCCTGAACACACTTTTTGTTCAAAATCTGCAAACAAAGAAGTCCACAGCAAAAGAAAAGCAAATTTGTGGGCCTTTTTTTCCCGAATTTGGAGATTCGGAGACAAAAAGCGAGAGGAATGGACAAAAATTTTGAGCTTGTAGCCGGAGAATTGTCCATTTTCCTGTCCGGGAAACCACAAAAACAAATCGTTTTTCTCTTGTTTTTTGCGGTTCAGGCTCTATTCTTTATTCTTATCATGATATTCGTCACGAATTTTTGATATTTGGTCGCATTTGGAATCGCTCAGAGCCACATAATCGAGTTGAAGCTCTTTTGTTCCCACCTCGCGCAAGTCGTTTCTGGTCGGTTGCATCTTTTAAAAGCGATTGCCCTGCAATGAGTCATTTCAAGTACGGCTTCATGGTAAACTGTCCTTTTCGCCTGAACTTTTGTTTTGAAAAATTCTTGAAACCGCAAAGAAGGATAATTTACTTTTTGAAAATTGAAAAAAACTTTTCTTTGATTTCTCAGCGCCTTCATAGGACTATATAGAAAAATGGTTAAACTATCATTTTTTTTTCCGAAAATTAAGCAAGAAGTATTTTCTAACGCTCTGGTCGCACTTGGAATGGCTCAAAGCGGTCGCGTCGCGGCTCCCTAGTCGAATCGAATTTCTTTGCGCGCAAGTCGTTTTGAGTCGGGCGCGGCTTGAAGAACCATTCACGAACCATTCGAAGTGCTACCATAGCTTTATGATTTGCCGCGAAATAATTTTATATGACCAGATTAAAATGTCATTTTTCGTCACGTCTACTACGAGCTTACTCTTTCCCAACGACAAAAAAAAAGAGAATTCTCAGCCGTTTCAACGTAATAAGCAAATAAGAAGCGAGACGCTCCATAAATGGAGCCAATAATCCGGCTGGAAATGAAGTGAAGCCACGCAAAAACACGGAAAGCGACCGCCCGGCAATTGTTTGTCTCTTTTCAATGTTTTTTTTTCTCATTGAACTTTTTTCTGATAAATATTTTTGGTAAGGTTAAGTGTTCCACAGAGGGGCCATTTTGCCACTGAAGGGGTCACTAGAAAGAGAAGTGGTCATCTGAAAGACACACCAGGGACCATTTGAGAGCTTTCTAGGATCACTTAAAATCTCTTAAGAGGCCGCTCAAGTGATCACTTAAAAGATAAATTATGAAAAACTTTAAAAATCTGACGACGCTGAAGTGGTCACTTGAAATGAAAGCAGTCATCAGAAAGATGCTCTAGGGACCACGTAGGAGTTCTGACGCCACTAAAGTGGACACTACAAAAGAAAGTAGCCACTAGAAAGATACCCTGGGGATCAATTAGGGGTCTGCTAAAGGGGCCACTAGAAAGATACACTTAAGAGCCGTGACATCGCTAAAGTGGTCGCTAGAAATGTAATTGGTCATCAGAAAGACACTCGAGGGTCCACTTAAGAGGTCGCTGAAAGAAGGATCACCCAACTTCCCCACAGAAAGTCGGTAAAATGAGGTCCTGAAGAGGCCACTCAAGGGTTTTAATTAAAATTGGTCTTTTACCCGTAGCATAACTGTCTATTTACTTTGAAAGACAATTTTTGGTTTTTTTCCCCTTTTTTTGCGAAACTCATTCATATTGTTCTAAAACTGAAAATGGGAAAAATGAAGAAAATAAATCTGAAAGTAGCCACTAGAGGGTTTTGAGCGTTCCAACTCATTTAAGTGATCACTCAGCTAGACCATTTGGGAACTTTCATTCAATTTTGGTTTTTAAGGCTATTGAACATGAAATCCAAGGATCTGGTACATTTGAAGTGGCTCCTTAAGGGTATTTTTTTCTAAGTGGTCACTTCAGGGAAAGCAGGTTTCTGGCCTTGAAAGGAAATTCCGAATGGGAGACCTTGGCTGCATTCAAGTGATTTCTTTAGATCTCTTCAATTGATTTTTTTAAAAAAACTCTAAAAAAAGTTTTTTTCAAAAGGTTAGGATTAGTTTTTGTCATTTTCTTGGTTCTCCGTATATTTTGATATAAGAACACCCTTCCAACTAACAATTTCCCAACTTTTCCATTTTTCTATTTCTGTTTCTCACTTTTTCTAGTATTCACCTATGAAATAGTTATGTATAACTTCGAAATTTTTCTTTTTTGGAGAATTTTATCGGAAATAAAGATGACCTTGCCATTCTTAAGTGGTTGTCAGACCTGTTCCGAATTATCTCGCAAGGAAATCTTTTGCCAAAAAAAAAGTCTCCTGAAACAAAATCAACCCGAAACTTTTCACCTGTTCGAGTTGAACTTATTTCAAGGCTCTTATTTTTTGAATCCAAGGGTCAATTTCTGACAACTTTTCCTGTTTCAGACTTTTTTTTGAATCGAAAAAGCTCCATCTTTTTAATTTTAGTGGAGAACAGGTTTTTGAAAAATGAAATAACTAATATTTGATTTACATGTGGCATTTTTTTCTCGTGGCTTTTCTCTTTCAGATTCTCACGGTTTTCTATTTTTTATTGAGCAGAGACCAAAAAATCAGGGACGAAAAGGCCATAAAATTATGAGAATTACTGGAAAAAATTCTAGTGGCCACTATAGAGGCTTGCCAAGGACTACTTGGAGAGGACACTGAAGTGGCCACTTAACACACCTCTATAGTGGCCACTTCAGTAGTTTCTCATCCAGTATTCCTTCCAGTAACTCTGATAATTTAAAAAAAAAACAGATTGGACTAGTTATGTTGATCCATTGACCCCTAAAGTGGCCACTAAAATTTTTTGTAGTCTACTAGTAGCACTTAGACCTCTATAGTGGTCACTAAATTTCAACCCCTCAAGTGGCCACTGAAACGTCAAAACCCTATAGTGGTCACTAAAAAATTTTCCCAGAAGATACGAACTTTAATTCGAATTTTCTTGCAATTTTTCCTTTTTTTCAAGAATCCTACAACTAAATTTGTAAAGAAAAAATCACTTTCTTCAAAATAATGGCTTGTTGAAAATTAACTAGAAAATCGAAAAAGAAAAAAATTCTCTATTAGAAATTTGCTTTCTTTTTTCTGGTTCAAATTTGTTCCTTTAACTTTTTTTTTATTTATGAAAATCATTTTTCTGTTTCGGTTATAGTTTTTTTAAGCTTTAGGGGGTCGGCTGCGTCAATTTTTCCAGATCCAGGAATGCGATGCTTTTTGTAAAAATAAAAATATGAGGAATTCCCAGATTTCGATTTATATTAGAAATTAATAGAAGTTTTTTTAATATTAGAAGTTTTTTTCGTGGGGTTTTCTCATTTTTCATTATTTTTTGTTGATTGAAGACCAGAAAATCAAAATTTGGAAGGTCACAAAATTGAAAAAAGTTTGAAGCAAGATGGAAAAGGATAATTAAAAGTTCGATGTACGAATTTTAATTGGAGATGTCCTTTGAACTTTTTTTTCTCGAATTTCTCTCAACTTTTGAACGTTTTCGGAAAAAAAAAGCAGAAAATCTCATGCTTTTGAGCCAATTCAATGTTGAAAATGAATAAGAAAACCTGAGAAAGTTGGAATTTTTCTCAAGAAATATCTTTCAATCAGAAAATTCCGCCAAACACCTTTTTTTTCGTAATTTATTGAAAGTTTTCCTCCGATAAATATTTCATGCCCCACGTTACGACTCCATTTAATGCACTTTCAGTCCTTTTTTTGGTTCGAAAAAGTCGTAAATGCTTGTCCGACTGCATGAAAATGAACGCGAATACCGTAAATGGGTCCCGGGGCCCAGTTTTGGAAGATTTTCCGTTGATTTTCGAAGTTTTTAGTGGTACTCAGGCACGCCAGAGTGGTAACTATAGGGGGAAGCTTAGGGGTCTTTAAGGGTTCCCGCTAGGGGCCACTTAGGGTTTAACCTTCATTCAGGACGTCATAGTTTTAGCCCTCTAGGGAGCAGCACTTTTTCGTCCTTTTCGAGGGCTCTTGTTAGCCATAACCCCTCAAGAGACTACTCTGCCATTTCTAAAAAAATATTGTTATTGAAATTTGAATTTTTTTCATTTTCATGTATCATTTAAAAAAACCCATTTTTTTGTATTTAAAAGCGCAGACTTTTTTTCTAGATAAAAAAATAAACCCAAAAAAACAAACTTTTTAATAAATGTTTCCTTGACATTTTCCAAGTACAAAATCTCCCCTTTTCGCCAAAAATCCCCTCTAAAAATCAAAAAAAAACAAGAAAAGTCAGGTCATTTGGATAATCTTGAGCGGAAAAAATTCCTCTTTAATGCACGTTTGGATTTATATGTAGTTATCCCCTTCCCGACGTCTTCAGCTTCTGCTCATAATCCCTTTCGACCGAATTCGTGTCGTTTTTCGCCTATTTCCCAAAGATGATGTTGTAATTTCTGTGAAGCCATATTGTTCAATGTCTGTTGAGCTTCTTTCTTTTCTTTTCCGTGGTTCAAATGTTTTTAAATGGGAAAAAAGGTTTCTCTTTCTCTCTGTGAATATTTTTAGTGGCCACTATAGGGTTTTTATGTTTTAGCGGCCACTATAGTAGTCAGTTTAGTGGCAACTTGAGGGGTAAAAAATTAGTGGCCACTATATGAAATCTAAGTGCTACTACTAAACCACTGCAAATTTTAGTGGCCCCTCAAGGTGTTAAAAATTAGTGGCCGCTTTAGGGGTCTAAGTGCTACTGCAAGACCACAAAAATTTTTAGTGGCCACTTTAGGGGTCAATGGATCAACATAACTGGTCCAATCTGTTTGTTTTAAAATTATCAGAGCTACTGGAATGAATACTGGATGAAAAACTACTGAAGTAGCCACTAAAACGGAAAATAGTGGCCACTATAGTGTCCTCTCCAAGTAGTCCTTGGCAAGCTCCTATAGTGACAACTAAACATTTTCCCAGTCCTTTGATTTAAGCTGCTCAAAAAAGTCTCACTTTTTTCCGGATTTCGAAAAGCTTTGCCGCATTTGGAATGGCTTGAAAATTTAAAAATTCATTCCACTCGGACAGATAGAGCATTAGATACACAAATTGTTGCCGTTTCAAAATTTAGTGGGTTGTTTCATTTTCGAAAGACGCCACCGCGCGAAAGTCGCTTTGAGTCGGGCGAACCTTGAATTAACCGCTCAGCAGCCGTTACGCCTATAGCCATTCCAAATGCGGCCATATTCTGAAAAAAAGCTTTTTCATGATAAATTTTGTGCAATTTTGTCGCTTTTTGCTTTATTTTTGATATCGATAAAGCACCAAACTTGAAAAAAATGTGATTTTAGAATCAAAATAAAAAAATTTTTTTCGTTTACTAAAAAAATTTTTAATGGGGAACAGTGTGCGTGTTAGATTCAAATCTTGGAAAAAGAAATGTTCGTTTTTTTTTTTTTTCCTTTTTTTGCTCTTTCAAGCTCATCCATCACACCTTTTTTTCCGATACCCTATCATTATCATCGAAGAGCATTTTTTTATTTTATTTTTTTTCAATTTATGAGCTCTTCGTTTCTATTTTTGAAGCAAAACATTCATTTTTTTGCTTTTTTTCAAGTTGCGGATTTTTTTCGAAAGTTTTATCGATTTTTTTCCTTTTCAGCCAAAAAAACGAACTGGATCCGACAATCTACAGCGATCGGCTGCAGTTTAATGGCTACAGGTTTTTTTAATTCTTCGAATTTTTTTGAATATAATTATTTAATTTCAGCAGCGAGCATTCATATGGAAGTCAGACCACCGCCGTAGACCATGATTATTTCAGCTGGTAATTTTTTTGCGGAAAAATGACAGAAAGAAATTGAAAAAAACTGAAGCTTTTTATTGGAAAAAAATCGACAAAACATGGATTTTTTTCTGTTTTTTTCTAATTAGTGTACTAGAAAAATCTATGACCTGTGTTTGATAATTTTGATATCATTTTTTTATTTTATTTTTTTCTGCCAGCCGCAGCTTGTTCAAATGGACTTTTTGATGATAAATTTGTGAAATTTCAGTTTGGAAAAATTTAGCACGTTTTTCCTGTTTCAGACCATTAATATCAAAATTGGGAATTGGAAAAATCTGTAATGCATGATTTTTTTAACGAAATGTAATATCCGTTTTGAAGCGTTTGTAGGAGTAAACAAAATTGTGAAAATGGGCGTGGCTAGCCAATGAAAGACGTTTCGCCATGGAGCGCATTTGCTTCACTAAAATATTTGAAACTAATGAATTATAGGTTTTTTTTGGGAATTTTTTCAGGAAAAATGGCTCATTCTCAAGCGTTTAAAACAAACAAAAGTCTCAGTAAAACGAAAAAGAAAGAAATCGCCTGATAAATGTATTTTTTTCAGCACCGGAGTCGCTGCCAAACTCGCCCCATTGCGAATCACCAAAGTCCAGCAGCCTTCCAAAGTTCAACCAGTCAAGTACGTTTTCCCGTTTCAAATCGTCTCCAAATCAAAGAGCCTCAAAACAGAATCCTTCCCCCACGACACCAACACAATTATGATTCTAATTAAAAAAGACCCGAAGGCAGCTGTAGAGAAGCCGCTGAAACGGCAATATTCGGTTGCACCACGGGTTCGCAATTAAAGTGGCGAGAGAGTGCGGATCGAGCGGAGGGCCCAGAGAAACACTTAATGAGGATCCTCTCCATTTCCCGCCTGTCCAAATGGCTCTTCGTGTTACGTTTCTTGGCTTCTCCTCCTCATTTTGGTTCTTTTTTGGTTTTTTTTTTGTATGCAAAGTGACTCTGTTTGAAACCTATTAGGTCCGAAAAAATTTTCGTTTTGGCGGGTTTTAAAGCTTTTCCTCTTTATTTTTGTCCACTTTCAGCTTTTCCAAGGTTTTGAGGAAGTTTATAAGCAAAGCGTTTCGAGAAAAAATATTCTTAATTTTTGCTCTTTTTGAAAGAAAAACCCCTATAAAAAGTAGCGAAGTTGCTGAAGTTTTTCTGCTTTTTTTTCATTGTTTTGGTCCATTTTTGGTCTCCTAGGTTCTAGAAGAAAGTCGAAGAAAGCTTATAAGAGGCCAATTTTGGAAAAAAATCTTCCTTTGGCTCTTCAAAAAAATAATCAAAAAAACTGTCTTAATTTTTCAAAAAAATTCTCACCTCGCAAGCCAAATCAGCACACAACCCTCCGATTTTTCTCTTTTTCGTCAGTTTCTTCGCTTCTTCTCCCTTTTTTGGTTCAATTTCGTTTTTTTTATTCTAAGCTTTTAAAGAATTTTTCTCGGAAAGTAATTTGAACAGAATCCTCGATTTTGTCCCATTTGAACAGATTAAACAAGAAAAAAGTTGTACAAATTTAAGAATTTTTCGGTTTTTTATCAGGTTCGCTTACGTTTTCAGCTTTTCCAACTGGTTTAGGTTCTATTTTAGATTTTTTTTTCTTAGTTTTTGAAAATTTTTATGCAGTGCGATTTAAAAAAACCCTTGATTTTGTTTTAATTGAAAAAAAACCTTGAAAGGAGAAGATTTAAAAAAAGGAAAAAAAGTCCGGATTTTTTTCGAAACTCTATGCTCTCAAAACAGAAAATGGCAAGAATCTCGATATTTTTTTGTTTTTTTGGCTAGTTTCTGTTGCCTTTCTCAGCTTCCACTTCTTATTCTGATTCTATTTTTTTCAGGTTTTTTTAAGAATTTCTGATCAAAAAAATCCATTTTTTTGAAAAATTTTACTCTACTTGGAAGAAAAAACTTGAGTAATATAATTAGAAAAAGAGAAAAATCTACTAATTTTTCAAAAATTTCTCGGCTCCCCAATATCCAAGAATTTTTCTGTTCTTTTTCCTGATTCTAATACGTTTTTCAGCTAATTTTTCAAACTTTCCCATTTATATCTTTCAATATTATTCCTTCGCTCATAAATAATTTTTTTCTTCATTTTTCAATTTTTTTGAAAAACCAATAACATGAAAAAAATTTTTGAGTGTAGAATGTGTTCTGGGAGAGGGTGATTTTTTTCCTAATATGGTTAGGCTTTTTTTACTTTTTGAGATTATTCATGAAAGATTCTTTTTATACTTTTATCCCAAAAGTATGTGTAGACCTAATGTTGCGAAAAATTAACCCGAAAAATTAAGCCGGTTTTTTTAAATTTAAAAAAAGTATATAACCTTTTTTTGGCATTGTTGAATTGATAATTAGTTTTTTTAGACGTTTTTTTCTTTCAAATTTTTTGATTTTTGTCATTTTCCTTCTATTGAAACAACTGGAAATGATAAATATAGCAAAAAGTTCCTTTTCAAGGCTTCAAGATTTCGATTACACTCTATTTTTCTTTCGAAATAACTTCATTTGTTCCCTTCAAGCTCCGAAAAAGAATAAAGTGTGCTAGGAGAAGTTGAAAAAAATATGTAATTTATGAGATTTTTCGAAATCATTTTTTTAATTCTTGTTTTTTTCTGTCTTTTTTCCCTCGAATCGTTTTTATTTCTTCGAAAGAATAAAAATACTTCTTTCTGATGCTCCAGATATCATAGTTCTCAAAACCAAATGTTCGACCAAAAATTTTTCGAACAAATATTGAAACCAAACTTTTGGTTAAAGTTTGAAATGAATGTTCTATTCGAAAAGTCATTGTATTAAATTTTGATTTTGAACGTTCGTTTTTCATTTTCAAAAAGTTCGTTTCAAAAAGAACGTTCGTTTTTTATGTGAAAAGCAAACGTTCTTTATTAAAAGGAAAAAATCTTCGAAATTTTTGGTTGAACGTTTGAAAATGATATATCCTAAACTATCGAAAAATGAAAAAGTTCATTTTTTGAACGTTCGGTTTTGAGAATTCTACCAGTTATAGATTTTAGATTTATCAAGATGAAAAAATTTGCATAATATATGAGATTTTTTTCAGAAACATTGAAGGGATTTATAAATTTTCTGTCAAACTATTTTGGTCATCCCAAATTCTCGATTTTTGTCAAAATTTTGTTGGGGAAGATGAAAAATAAAGAAATTTTTTTGACAACTTTTGGTAGGAGAAGCTGGAAAATATGCAACTTTTTCTTGAAGTTTCCTTCAAAAAATTATGTTTTTTTTTCGGAATTTTTCTCGAGTTCACTGTGATTTTCTTTCATAATAACTCAATTTTCATGTCCTGAACACAAAAAAAGGTCAAATTGTGGTAGGAAAAAGCTCAAAAAAATTTTTTCATTTCCGATTTTTTTGTGTTTTTTTCTCTTTGAAGTAACTCAATTTTCGCCTCCCGAGCCCCGGAAAAAGGTCGAATTGTGGCAGGAGAAGCTGAAAAAGGCAACGGTTGGATTGACGTGAGGCGGAAGGCGATTTTGGGCGAGCGGAAAGGTGCAATTGGCCGTGCGCCAAAACGCCTTTTGGCCCGAGCAATTTCGTCCATCGATTCGTTTTCCTTTTCTGCTTCTTCTTTTTTTTTCCGATGCTTTTCTGGGATTCTGTTACAGCTTTCCCTACAATTGAAATCTTATTCAAGAAAAAAATAAAAAAATACTTTTTGAGCGATGGTAGTTACAGCGATATGACTTAAAAAGAGAGATTTTTTCCATTTTTCAATTTTAGTCAGATTTTTTTAAAAATTGGTCATAATGTTCTATGGAGTTCTAGAAGAAGGTAGGAAAGGGTTAGAAAACCTAATATTTTACTTTTTAATCAATTTTTGGAAAAACGGGCAAAAAAAAAGTCAAAAAAAAGTGAAAAACTGCAATGAACCCTTTAGGGGTCCCTCAAAGACTAATTGGGAAGGACACTAAAGTGACCACTGGACCAACCTCTACAGAAGCCATTATTTTGCGTCTTAGGGGCCACTATAGTAGTTTTCAATGTTTTTAATGCTTCTAAAAAGGCGAATGAGTTTTAGTCACTTAAGTGGCCACTAATTTGACCACTAAGGAGGCCACTAAAAATTTCTCGTGTATAGGAAAACTTTAAATTGAAATTATGGAGATAGATTTTTCGAACGGTGGATTTTTCCTGGTTTTAAAAAATCCTCCTTTTTGATTAACAAGATTTCATCTGAATAACGTTTCAAAGATTATTTAAAAATCGGAAAAAGTATGAATATGACAGTGGACTTCTCTTTTTAATTGAGTATATATTTCAGTTCGTTTTTTTGTAATACTCTGATATTACTTTTTCAGTTATTAGACTTCAAAAATTTCTATCGAAGAACTTATAAAGGCGAAAAATTAAACTATTAAACTTTTTCAACATTTTTTTTCTGGGTTTTAGTATAGATTTTAATTTTTCTTCTTGGATGGAAGTTTTTGAATCTGACCCAAGTGGTTTGAGTGGTTACTATAAGGGCCTTTTAATACTTTTGTTCTGATTTGAAAGTTGAAAATATGTATTCAGTGAAACTTGATCTACGAGTGCATCCCTAAAGTGGCCACTAACTAAAATCCCTAGAGTTACCACTCTCGCAAGCTTTAGTACCCCTATAGGGGATGTAAGGCTTCACATTGCAGCTTTCCGGGTTTTTTAAAAATTCGATAATTTCTTGGATTTTACGAAAGAGTGGTCCCTAGAGGGGCCACCATATTGAAACCCTTGAAGGCTCCCCTCTAGGGACCACTTTAAATCCCCTATAGGGTGCACTAAACCTTGCGAAAGTGACCACTCTAGGGGGCATGCTCGTCGTCATTAATCAACCAAATTTTATTAATTATGTTTCTCTTTTTCTCGATTCCGAACAGAAGTTTAAAAGACCTCTCTAGGGACCACTTAACATTTAGAGCCTTGGGGTCACATTTTAAACCCTATAGGGACCACCTGAATGTTATCCTTCTTGGAAGCAATAATTTGTCTCTTATATTTGTTTTTTCCTTCAAGGGACCACTCTGGCGTTCCTAAGTCTTTCAGAAATCCCTACCTCTTCATTAATAATATCTGGGAGGTCTGGGAAAATTTTTAGTGGCCACTATAGGGTTTTGACGTTTTAGAGGCCACTATAGTAGTCAAATTAGTGGCCCCTTAAGAGGTTTAAAATAAGTGGTCACTATAGAGGTCTAAATGCTACTATCAGACCACTAGAAATATTAGTGGCCACTCTAGGGGTCAATGGAATAACATAACTGGCCCAATCTGTTTGTTTTAAAATTATCAGAGCTACTGGAAGGAATACTTAAAGAAAACTACTCAAGTGGCCACTAAAATTTTTCCCAGGTACTTTTTTTTTTCAGATCTGGAATAAATTTATTTTTGATGGAAAGTTTGAATAGCTGGATTCCGGGCAGGCTTATTGTTGCATTGAATTGAGTTCGACGAGAGTTTTTTCTCTTTTTTTTTCTCCTCCTCTTCTTTCTATTTGTACAGCCGCCCTTACATATTCATGTGTATTTCGACGGGCCAACAACAAAAACTTTCCGATATTTGCCACAAACTCCGTCTGCAAAAAGGCGTTCCAGTTGCTTCTTTTCCCCTTTCCGAAACCCGAAAATAGTTGATTTCCCCGAGAATTTTGACACGAAATGTTTATGTTGGCCCGGGATTTTCATAAACATTTCCCTTGCCTATTTTTCAATGCCAGTTCTATTTCTATTTTTTTTTTTTTGAAGCTTGCAATTATTTGGTCCGGATTTAAAATTTTTAAGTCACTTTACAGCTTCAATGGGTGAAT